GCTCTGATGCCGCCGTCAGCCGGTGACGTTGCTCCCGTTGCTGCTGGTCCCGACCAACCCTCGCTCAGCGCCGCAGAGACACTGACGTCGCGCCGCTCACACACTAAGTCTTTGTGCTCTGAAGGCGCTCACACGTGTCATGTCGCATCCACTGAAGAGTCCGCTCACATTTTCAGGATGGACTCTGAGGCGTGTGCCTCATTAGAAGTTAACACTAGATAGCTTTGTGTTTGATTCGGTTCTGACTGGAGGTGCTTGACCTCTTTATATTTTATGTAACTAACAATCTAAAGTCTGTACTTTTCTACTTGGGCTATATCTTTAGGCAGTGTGGCCAGTGGCGCCCCTACATTTTTTAATAGGGGGCCAGATGAGCCCCCTGAAAATCTTGTGATGGCACTGGATAGAGTCCATGCTTCTTCTAAAGCCCAGCAGTCCCTTCATGAAACCACATCCTGTATACACTTTAGTATTTCACTTTTATTTTATCAGGGGACTCAAAATGAATGTAGCTTGCTTGTATTTCAAAAACACTATAATTTCCAGAATGCAACCCCATGCTGCTTTTTATTTGTCTAACTCTAGTAAATGTTGATATCTTTCAAATTCCATTCCAAGGTCTATTTTCTGTTCATAGCTTAATTCAGAAGCACAGTAGACATTATACAGCTGTTCTAATATGGACTGAAAATAACTCATACGTAACAAAGTACTTAACAAGTAAACTGATCTTCATGTTTAAGATTAAAGGGTGACCTTCTAAGTCATTCCAAGCTATTTCAAAGTGTTGCTGTAATGTTTCTTTATAAAAAAAAAAAAAAAGGTCCACCTCTCAGTCTGAGACTAGAAAATAAACCCAGAAGCCTGAGAGTGGGATGTCAAGCTGAGAGTGCGCCAGCAAAAATCAGGTTAAGTCTATCCAAACATAGCCTCCTGTAATTACTGATTTGGAGAGCATAAGGCCAGCTGAGAAGCCATGCAGTGTGGGAATGAAGAAAATGGTTACCATATTTGCTAAAGGAGAAGGGCAGAAATTTAAATTGCTCTGAAGTGTAAGATTCATGTGCTGCAGTCTTCACAGATATTGATTGCTTATTAGGGCTGCAAGTAAGATGCAGAGATGAGTCATTTTTCCCATAAGTCTCAATTCATCACATTCGTTGCTTGCGCATGTTATTTACGTTCGTCGTGCTCAAGTGCAAACTTTGCAGTCAGACTTTTCCATGTGCAGCTTATTAAAAGTCAGCTCCCATCAGCAGCTGCTCACTTACAGGTTATGTCCATTAACAAGTGCCGCACTATCATCCTAAAGCCTACTATAGAAGCTTTCTGCACATTCACGGGAGGCTTGTATCTAAATAGGCTGTCTGAGTTGGCCAGCTTAGTATTCAGTGCCCTTCCCTGCAGTCCCTCATTGCAGTCAACTGCAGTTACAGTAGTCTCGTAGGAATAGAGGGAGCAAGGCACAGGAGAAAGAGGCCAAAGTAAAAGAGTGCAGGGTTTCTCATCTTTTTATGCTGTATATCTGAGAGCAGATGGAGTTTGATCCTTTTTTAAAAACATAATTTATCTTGAGTTGTATAGAGACAGAGGGTGAACCAAACTAAGGTAACTGCCTGTATCTGCAGAGTGCAGTTTATAACCACACATTGAGTCCCACATGGTTTGTAAGTACATCAGTTCTGATTATGTCAGTGTCAAGACTGGAGGTGGTTTGAATGGGAAAGGTCATCAATTAAGCCTGTTCTCAGATGTCATTTACATTTATCCCTCCATTATCTATGCCGCTTATCCTTCTAGAGTCAAGGAGGGCTGGAGCCAATCCCTGGACAGGTCCCCAGCATATTGTAGGGCTAATCTCTGCATGTCTTTGACTGTGGTAGGAAGCCAGAGTACCTTGAGAAAACCCACGGAAACATGGGGAGAACATGCAAACTCCACCCAAGCCAAGCTAGGAGTCAAATCAAGTATCTTCATGCTTTCAGGCACCAGTGTTAACCAATGCACCACTGTGTTGTGTTTTTTAAAATTATCATTACCTGAGGACATTATCTATATTCCTTTTTGTTTACAGCTATGTCGCTGATAGAAGTCACGGGGGAAACGCATTTTAAGTTTTGTATCAGAGTGTTTCTAGCAGTGGTGGAGGAGATAATCAAACATTTCATTGTCAAAAGAAAACATACTTGGCGAATAAAGCTGTTCCTTAATGCAATGGTCTACTACATCATTATGGCTGAGTCTCAGTGATGACCTGTACCTTTCTTCAGCAGTAGGTGCTGCTGCTGCAGGAGGTCGGGTCTAATGTTACCTGCCCACTCTCCTGTGGAGAAATTCCCTTCTCATTATTGATAAACATGTAGTGGGGTAAGTACAGATATTTACTAATATACAGAGTGAAGTAAAAGTGAAAAGTACCTGGAACTAAATGTAAAGTACATATACATTAACTTAAGCATATGTTATTTGTTAAATTCCACTACTCGACTAAAATATACCATCCAACTCTCATTCTTCTTTGCTTGGTACGTTAGTCATTTCCTTTATAATGTGTGGGATTGCAAACTGATGCAGAGCATGAATCATGCACAGTAATTTCTACTTTTCCTTCATCATTTAATAGCACAGAACAGAAACACCTCCCCTGAAAACAATTCTGTTTAATTACTCGCAGATATTTGTCCATTTACGAGAAACCTCACACGACGCTCATTAAATGATCATCGTCGGTGCAGGGGCACAATTACAAGCCCCTGCAGCATCTTCACATCACTGTGATCTGTTGGCATATGCAAAAACAGCTGGGGGACGACTGACAGGAAAACCACTACCTGGAAAATATTTGTATAATCTTGCCTGTGACTTTGACCACATTCACTATTGCGTTACATGAATGATTTACCATCAACAGTATATTTGTCTTAATTAGCAGAAAAACTCCATCAGCAGGAGGTAATATCCTTCAGTTTACAGATTTTCTCACATTAGAGCTTGAAGACAGAGCTGCTCATAAACAAAGAGCACAGTGATTGATAGGAGACATATATTTGAAAAGTGGATGATATGAGGCCATTTGGTGGTGATAATTTTATGCATGGCTGTAACTTTGATTCAACAGCTGATCCATCACTCTGGCAGTTTTATAAATAGTCACGCACCGAACTTTGAACAGAAATGCAGCTTCAGTGAGTCACACATGAAAGGTGCGCTGGATTTAACCCAGACTGTCTGGTTATAATAACTTGATATTGATATTGAAATTGATAATTCTTCATGAAAAAAATAAACAATCGTGGTCTCAGGTGAAGGATTCAATTATTTTATCGCTCAGTGTTTCATATATGCAAGTTACAGCTCCAGAAATTAACATCCTTGATAATAATAAACTATGATGGTTATCTTTAGGTGATTGGTTGTCATAAAGCAGCAGGTGAAGAATTTATAGTTTTTGTAGACATGAATATTTTACAGTGACAGATGGAGGGAATGACGAGCAAATGGACGAGAGTCTTTTCATGCACAAGCCCCAGCAACTCTAACGCGGAGAGATTGGGCTTTGCAGTACAAAAATCTGCTTCACCAAATCTTTTTCCAGAAGGTAGTAACAAGTTAATGGTTTAGGGGATTTTATTTATAGATTACAACTATGGAATAAGAAGCAATAGAATGACAAAACTGTATCTTTAACAGAATAGCAGAGATTGTGACTTTTCTGTGTCTAACTCTGTTCCTTCCACAAACAACTCCCTCCTTCTCCAGAAACTGCAAGCAAGCAACATTTTCCCTGAGGCGTCATCTGTTGTGCCCACTTGAGTATCCCATATGACTCCGTATATATAATTTAGGACATCATAAATATACAATCCCCCACCAGCTTTCCAACAGACATGGGCAAGAGGATCCAACGACACTTATCACAGTCTGTTGTGCTCGGTAAATCCAGCAGGGCATTGAGGTTTTAGCAGAGTGGCGATGCTGTTGTAATGCCTGTGACACTCAGCTATTAATTCAGACTGACAACGGGCAGATATGTGGCAGACTAATGGCAGATGGGCCTGAATCCTGGCTTTATGGAGATAAACTATACCCCCCTCAGGAGAGGAAGCCAGGGGCGGGGGGCTGTTGTTAAACACTGTCTGAAGTATGTTGAAACCCTTTAGAGTTTATCCAATAAGTGAAATACATTCTTGTTGTTGCTGGACATCTGTGTGATTATCATAGCAGGAGTAAAAGGTTGCCCACTAAGCAGTAGAGATGAATCAATAGAGCAAACCCACGCTGGGTTAGAAGTAGGACACATTCTGTGGGCCCTAGATTGATGCTATTTGTATTATCAGCATATATGGAAATATGGAAAATTGCTTTCTATCATATTAATAGATAATCTATACATATATAATCAGTGCTAATAGTTGAAACGAGAGAAATGTCTATTATCTGACCCAGTTTAAGAAGTAATAGAAAATGATTATGGCCATGATCGACAGGAATAGAGTTGTCAGTTATTGTGTCATTTCTAGTGAATCTCCTAACTTCCAAATAAGACATTTAGCATCAGACAATCTGTTATGTCTGTCATATATATATATATACACACACATTTTATAGAGGAATGTGTGAGCATCTGCTCCCTCCCAGTTTTTTTCAGGATTGTGTCTGCCCTCTAATGGCCACATGAAGCAACAGCACTTAATCCTATGTATATCATAATAAGGATTAATTCAGCAGTGACTGCAGCTGTGAGAAGACTAAATGAGAAATGATGGGTACAATCCAAAAAGGTGGGTTTTGATGAAAGCATGCAGCTGCCAACACTGACTCCCTCTCTCGTTTATTGCTCAGTGGTGAAAGACTGTACTGACACAAATTAGTCATAGTGCTAAAAAAAGAAATGAAAAAAGAAAAACAGCCAATGAGAGATGTCCTCTTGGTCCCTAAGTTGAAAAAAAGAACAGCAAATACGTGTGTCACTCATCAACTTTGTCCCCCATGTTTACATAAATACATGTTACACATACTCCTCAGTGGAACTGTCCTGCCGGAGTAAAGGATCACATGTTGTCCTACAGCAGAGCAGGTAGACACACAGGAAGAGAGGGAAACATGGTTTTTACGACCCTGCTCTGTCTGCTGTTACTGCGGCCTGGCCTCAGCGCTCTAATGAGATCTCCATTGGTTGAGGTAGGTGGAAAGCTGCGGGTGAACAGGAGCACAGCGGTTAGTGATTCCACTGCCTGGGACTTCTGCAAAGTACATTGAACTCTCCCACTTTAATCTGTTTATCATCCTGTGGAAGTCCACGGCCTGGAGAGAGGCACGGCTGTGTTTGATAGGAGTTACATGACGACCTGTACAAAACAAGTTGTTTTTTGTGTTTTCTTCAGTGGTTCTGGATCTAAATTTAGTGACAGATTTGATGTAACTAAATGATGCAGTAGCTAAAAATGTTTGTTCCCTTTAGAAGCTCTTTCATCACTCCTACAGTCCAAGAGGCACATTTTATTCTTCTCCTGATGCCTCTGGTATGTATTCCTATGGCAGGATGAGACACAATCAAGAATAATTAAAGTGCTGATATTGTTTGCTTTAATAAAAGTAACAATATACATGCAAAATGTGCTGGTTTATGTTTCTACTGTGTCCTCTTCTTGTTCTCAGAGGGCGTGCGGCTGCGTCGCTCAGCAGCGATGCCTGATATCACCCACCTAGAGCTGCTGGTGGTGGTTGGACCCGATGTCCAGCAGGTCCACAAGCAGGATACAGAGAAATACATCCTCACCAATCTCAATATTGTAAGTCTGAGCAAGGGAAGGATGCTTTCTTAGTAGCCTCTGTTATATTGATTACAATGTAAGCTCTTTAAAACAACAGACTTTTACACTATTTACTACACTGTAAGGCAAAAAGAAGGTGATGTCAATAAATTATGAAGACAAGTGAAAATTCGGTTCAGATTTTAGTTTGTTGAAATGTTTTCATATCCAGCTCTAGAGAGTGTGCTGCAACACTATAGTCCCATAACACTGTGAACATCCTGAAATATATTAAACTGACTTATGGACCAATATCCACCCAGGCGTCAGAGCTGCTGAGAGACATGACCCTGGGCGCCAACATGCGCGTGCACCTGGTCCGCATGATCATCCTGTCGGAGCCCGAGGTAAGTTACATCTCGAGTTCACGTTAGAGTCAAGTTCACAAGTGAGCAGTGTTTAATGGTGGTATGTTTGTGCTGTAATCCAAAAGTTCAGTAGCTGTACATGAAATCTTGAAATTCGGACTTAATGTTTGTGCAAAGATTAGAGTCAAGAGGGAAGACGAGAAGAGTCATCTGCCACTTTTGTTTTGTTTGGAGTATTTCCTCTCTTGTAACTTTCCACCTTCTTCTAGCCAGAGATCCAAATGTCTACCAACATCATGTCATCTCTCAGAAGTGTGTGCGACTGGAGCAGGAGGATAAACCCCTCCAACGACACAGACCCACTTCATGCTGACCTGTTGTTATACATCACAAGGCATGTTGGCGGTATCTAGCCGGCTGTGTTACAAGTAGATGTTTCATTACTTATGTCTGAACATTCCATGTTTTACTGTGGATCTTGTATCACAAACAGGTACGACCTGGTGTTGCCTGATGGGAACAAGCTGGTCAGAGGAGTAACACAGCTGGGCGGGGCTTGCTCCAGTGAATGGAGCTGTGTGATTACAGAAGATACAGGCTTTGACCTGGGCATAACCATTGCTCATGAAATCGGCCACAGGTATAACAGACTGAAAAACATTTTAGACCAATGTCTTTTTAGAAATGTGCATTACAACTTATTTAACTTAGTATGTAAAATTCTGCATGTCACTCCTCCCAGTTTGGGTATCAACCACGATGGAGTGGGGAACACCTGCAGCAGGAGTGGCTTCATGATGGCCTCTGATGGAGGCTACAACAGTGTGGATCTGACCTGGTCTCCCTGCAGCAGACAGCAGCTGCTCTCGTTCTTCAGGTGGGTCAACCTGTTCACTGCAGCTGTGCATGAAAATGTCTCTCATTCATCATGCAGACATGGAATTGTTGAGTTTTTTAATTTTAATTTTTCTTTTTTTTTCACCTTAGGCTGATGGAAGTTTTCACATTTCAAGGATGTTTGATCTGATTTTAGTGTGAAATTCTTATTTATGTTTTGAATTAGATTTGATTGGAATATGTTAGTTTAGGTTAGGTTGGATTAGATTAGATATATTTAGAATAGGTTAGGTTAGTTTAGAATAAGCTAGATCTGTAAAAATTGTCTTTGGCTTCAAAGAAAAACAACATAGATAACAAATATAATCTGTAAATATGCAGAGCTCAAAGTTTGATCATAGTAAAATACAGTTCAACAGACTTATTACAAAAATGATATAAATTAAAGTAGCTTATACTTTATGATTCAACAATTCAATTGATTGTTTTGTTTAATCAATGGTCTGCTTGTGCCATAAACCACTCTTAACAGTTTTGTTTTATACTTAACATCCAACTGTTCATACCAAGCAACAAATAGTTTATGAATGAGATGTGATTTGCATTGGTATTCCCCAGTGAAGGGAAGGCTACATGTGTGACAGACCTGCCTGCAATGGGAGGCTCCCTGCAAGACTGGAAGCCTGGTCTGTACTATGGAGTTGATGACCAGTGCAGAATAGCCTTTGGTAGCACTGCCAGAGCCTGCTCTTTCACCAATCCTGACCTGGTGAGTCCCCTGTAATAACAACATGGCACCATCAGGTGTCGCTTCACATGAAAAAACACGTGTCTAAAATTTCTTTCCCATCAGCCAGCCTGTCGTGTTCTGTCCTGTCACATCAACCCTGACGATAACAGCTCCTGCAAACGTCTCCTGGTCCCACTGCTGGACGGGACAGAGTGTGCACCAAGCCAGGTACTGCTCTGTGATCACTGAGTCATTTTGGTGCTTTCTTTTTTTCCTCCCAAAGTATCAACATCTACCAGAAGTATGCTTTTTTTATGAGGTGCAATCCTCTGCTGCAGTGGTGTCTGAAGGGCCGCTGTGTGTCCCCCGATGAGCTCAGCTCCTCTGTGGTGGTGCATGGCTCCTGGTCCAGCTGGTCCCAGTTCTCCCACTGTTCACGGACATGTGGTGGAGGAGTCACTCATCGCACACGGCAATGCAACAACCCCAGGTGACAACTATGTTGCAAGCATCAGCCAAACATAGTCCCATCATGCTTTAATATTCCTGTAAAATCAAACATCTGTGATGCCTGTTTTTTCAGACCTGCTTTTGGAGGGAGTGACTGTCAGGGTCTGGATATCGAGGCTGAACTTTGTCACCAGCAGGTGAGTTCTGACTGGTTGTGTTTACAGTGGGTCTCCATACAGTAGGTCAGTACTGTTTGCTGAGTGCATCGTTCTACCAAGAATCGTCCCCAGTTTTAATGATTACTTGCTGGTAGTTTGCAGCCTGTGCTTCTCCAGAAATATAAGCAGTGATGGGATGATTCAGATAGTTGAGGAGGCAAAGAGGTTAAGAATAGAGCTGTGCTTTCAATCAATTTTAGATAAAGAGAAATGTATTCTGAAGCCTCTGCAGTGGTTTTTTGTCAAACCTGACACTAATTTAAAAGCTGGAAAAGTTAAAAATGCCTCGTTTTTCATACCACCGCTGTTGCTGAAGCCATGTAAGGGCACCCAGCTAGATTTCATGGCAGAACAGTGTTCGATGACAGACCTCCAGCCGCTCTACCTGCTCCCAAACACTGCCTCCTTCTACACATGGATCCCTGCTGTAGGCTTTGCACAAGGTGGGCCTACAGAAATCTTTTATTTCTATGACTTAAATGAAAGTAACTACATCTGCTACATTTTCTTTAAATGTTGTCCTTATTGTCAAAACCAGGGGATGAGCAGTGCAGATTCATGTGCCAGTCAGACGGAGAGAACTTCATGGTGAGCCGTGGCTCTCAGTTTGTGGATGGGACTCGCTGTGAGTCAGACAGTCCGCCTCCCTTCGGCTCTACGGCTGCTTGTCTGAGAGGGAAATGCCAGGTAACAATGACTCAGCAAAACATGCTGGAGAGCAGATGCAGTTTTACTTTTCTCTTTTTTTTTTTTAAATTCACTGTTTGTCTCTGATCAGCTGTTTGGCTGTGACGGTGCGCTGCATTCTGGGAAAGTGTGGGATGTGTGCGGGGTGTGCGGTGGAAATGGATCATCCTGCACTTTGACCTTGGACTCCTACAATGCTGGTCAGGCCAGAGGTAACATTCAGTCAAAGGAAATGACCTGATTAATTGATTTAAATCATTGAAAGCGACACTGTGAAACTTATTTACATTAAAATAGCAGTTTCAGAATAATTTTGATGGCACACTGACTTGAAATAAGAACTTCAAGAGTAATGCAGATCAGTTAAAAAGATTTAGAAGTCAAAACTAGTGATTATCTCCAATATTTAGCCAGGAAACTTTAACTATCAGCAATTCTAAACAGAGTTTGGTGGATTAGTTCAGCAGTAGCTCTTCTGGTCCAAGAAGCTGAGGATCGTGGGTGATATCCACAGTTGTGTTTTAGTTCAGTGACTACACAGTCAGAGCTCTGGTCAATACACTGATAGATTAAACTTTTTCTCTCCATGAAAACCACTTTATCACTCGGACATAGAGCCCAACAGAATGAATCACCGCATGTGCAGCTGCAGAGGGCGCTGTTGCTCTGATTCCTACTCTCTAGTTCTCTTCACATTATACATGAATGTATATACATACACTGTTCAAACAGTTTGTCCACTGGTGTGATGCTCACTACCTTCTCGTGAACCTTACTCGTCAAATGTTTCAGTCATCTGTTGATGGATTATATTTTGGGTTGCAATTTCAAGGTTTTCCCGTTTGGATCTGAGCACTTTTTTCTTTGCTATTTTCAAACATTCACTAGACACAATACTTTGTCAGTTCATTACAAAACTAATCAATAATTAATTGATAATCATAGTTATAGCTCATATATCTGTACTGATTTCATTGAGTTATAATTCAGTGCTTTCTGTTTCAGATTACACCACCTTCCTCTCTGTGCCAGTGAACGCCACACAGGTTCATATTGTAAACAGGGCACCGCTCTTCACTCACATGGGTGAGCGTCATCCCTTTAGAAAATGTTTATGTTTCAACAACAGGTGTCACAGGACAAACTGAAACATGGAGTTGTTCTTTGACGTTTGTGTCCTCAGCTGTAAAGGTTGGGGGTCGGTACGTTGTCTCTGGATCCGGCAGCATTGCACTGAATACGACCCACCCCTCCCCAGTGGATGACAACCACCTAGAATATCGTCTTCACCTGACCCCTGACTTTTTGCCTGTGACAGAGGAGCTGCTGCTGCCTGGTCCGCTGCAACAGGAGATAATCGTACAGGTCAGGAATACACACGATCAGAATAAATCTTAAAGTGAAGGTTGTAGCTTTCACTTATACAGTGTGAACAAAAATACTCCAAAAACTGAAATGGAAAATCCCAACTTTTACACTGATTTTTCCCTTTTCAGGTCTATCGCAAATATGGAAAAGAATATGGTGAGAGGACAAATCCAAACATTAGTTACCAGTTCTATCTTCCCACCACAAACAGTTACTCGACAGGCGTCACACCTAAAGGCAAATGGGTTGTCTTTACAACACCCTGCTCTGTCTCCTGTGGATCTGGTAAGTCACTGTTTATCAAAAGTCAAAATGAAAAACACAAAATAAGAATATACACGTTACAGTAACATTTTCTGTGGCTGGTGGCTCTATAAATTCACAGACTGGCTTTTTTATTTTAGGAGTCAGTGGTTTTGCCTGGAAGGAGACATTTGTGTAATAGTGTGTAGCAATAATGACCTTTTTGAACTTGTTTTATCCCATTATCAGTGGCCATCTGTTACAAAAGCTGAAGTGTTAAATATTTTGCCATTGTTCTGATCTCTGGTGTTTTCAGGAGGAAAATGACACAAAATCCACTGAGCTGATTAACTGAAGGGTCATACACACTACAACAAATAGAATTAAACTGTTGTTTAATATGCTGTAGGTTGTTTTCTTATTTCCATGTCCATACATGCTGTTCTCTTGTAAATTTCCTGCACTGCAATTTAAAACCATTAAAATTTAAATATTGCGATTCAGTCTTGTAAACTTGTGAAAATGTAACCACCTGCCCTGGAACAAAAATCATGCATTGTATCATTGAAGTTGTTCTACACATATTCTTTTTTCAACAGGTGTACAGACACATGTATATGTCTGTGCAGATGAAGATAGCAACAGCCATTTGGAGGAACACAACTGTGAGACGCCTACGTCACCTGTACCACTCCAGACAATCTGTCAGCTCTCACCCTGTCCCCCCTGGTACGCTCATGTCCTCTCTGTTTGTTTTTATTTGGGCTGACATACAATTACAGCTCAGCACAAATAGGGTCACAGAAAATGTCCTGCTTCACAGGTGGGATACAGGGAAATTTGGGCCCTGTAGTGCCTCTTGTGGTGGAGGAGAGAGGGTGCGTCTTCTGAGATGTGTTCAGAAACAAGGAGCTGATGTGATGACTGTTCCAGATTCTGAATGTTCCCCTGACACAGCGCCACCTGCTGTGGAAAGATGTAACCGACAATACTGTCCTGCCAGGTATGAAGTCCACACTGCAGTGTTGATCATTGGGAGTAGTGGGTCAAATAACTTTCCATGACCACAGAATATGAAGGAGTTCAGGTATTATCCATATAATCCTCACACATGTCGACAGATGGCGTGTGTCCGAACCAGGGGAATGTTCAGCAGTGTGCGGCCCTGGAGAAGCCAAACTGGCCGTGTCATGCGTCCGTCCAGAAGCTGGTCAGGATGTTGAAGTGGATCACAGCTTCTGTTCAAAGCAGATCAAACCTCCTGATTCTGTGCCATGTGTGGTGGACGTTTGTCCCATCGGGTGGGAAAGTGAGGGAGAGGTAAAGTTAAAAATGACTCAAATATTATTTTTAAATGAATCATCTTTAAACACGGCTTCACTTTTCCAGGCCCAGCCCGTGCTGAAGTCTGGTTTGCTGCCCCGCTCCAGACAAGCTCCTGTGTATGTTTGGAGCCCTTCAGTCAGCCAGTGCTCAAAGACCTGTGGCAATGGTAAGAGAAAATAATTTATAATCGCCTTTATTTCAAGATGGCATGTCCTCATCAGATAAGGCCAATCAAAGCCTCGTGCTCATGTAGGAACCCTGCAGGTGTGGTTTTCCTGTCTGGACCACCAGAGCAGACTGGGGGTGCCTGACTTCCACTGTGATGCTTCTTCCCAACCTTCTCCCCAGTCTGAGATCTGCAGCTCCTCTCCCTGCCCTCCCATGTGAGAAACCAGAGTCTCATATTTACTTGTAGTATAAATTCTATAAGTGAATTTTACCAAATGCCAGCAGTGAAATATTTTTTTCACTACCAGGTGGCGCTCTAAGCAAGGAGTCTGCAGTGTAACATGTGGAGGAGGGGTGGCCAACAGGGTGCAGTACTGTGCTCTGGAAACAGGAGGAGGGGAGGAGGAGGAGGAGGAGGTAGTGGAAGATTCAGAGTGTAGTGAGTCTCTCAAACCCACAGCAGTGGTTTCATGTAACACCCACAGCTGCCCGGCAAGGTACAACACACACACACACACACACACACACACACACACACACACACACACACACACACACACACACACACACACACACACACACACACGTCCACCTCTGTAAGAAATGATCTCACTACCACTTTCACTTGTCCAGGTGGAAGGTGTTCGGGAGGTCCCCCTGCTCTGTGACCTGCGGTTTGGGTGTAGCTCAGAGGACTGTGTCCTGTGTCCAGTTTGTCGACGGCAAGGAGAGTGTGGTGCCAGAGGAAAACTGCCATGAGGTGGTCAAACCAGCCACCATGGTGCCCTGCCTGGTGCAAATCTGCATCCTTAGGTGGGAGGTGAAGTCTTGGAGCCAGGTACTTTTAACAGGACAGGGAATGGTCTGAAAATGTCAAGATTAAATTAGATTAGATGAATCTGATAATAGCTGAGAGGATTTGCTGGATTTAGTCAACTGGCAGAACATTTTAATCACTTGTATATCATTATGTGGTTCCTGCTTCTCAGATAGGGAGACTTATTGCCTTTTATATCACTCTAGATTAAATAACTTTGTTTTGAGCCATCGGTCAGGGAAAATATAACTTTTGCGTCTGCACGCGACATCACAAGGAGTAATTGGTTGTAAGATAAGAAAAAGAACTAACAACAGCTCTTAGGCATTCCCCCTATACCACCTATTACCACCTCTCCACCTGAAAAAAATGCTTGTTATATGATATGATGCATGATTTCTTCCCAAGTTTACTTCCTGTGTTGCATTACTCCCCAGTGTTCAGTACCTTGCGGATATGGGATCCAGTCTCGAGCTGTGTCCTGCCTGGGTCCTTCCACGCCCGAGCCCCTCAGCCCTCTGCTTTGCATGCATATGCCCAAACCCATCACCATCCAGGGCTGCAACATGGGCAGCTGCAGAGATGTGCTGCCCACCGCCGCTGCAACGCAGGCTGTCCCAATGGTTGACCTCACAGAGGGGCCTCTGCTGTCTCCCACATATCCAACAGAGGCCATAGCTTTCCCACACACCACCACAGCAGCCACCCCAACACCTAGAGGCATAAGCTCTTTGACTCCTGACCCATTTGAAGTGCAAGTTAGTTACAGATGCAGGGTTAACAGTGTGTGCTCTATTCCAGGTGCATGTGGACAGCTTCTCCTGGAGGAATCAGGCACAGTGGATTTGAAAAACGTAACTGCCCGCTGCACAGTGTCCATAGGTCGACCTCTGGATGAGGTTATTCACATTAGAGTGGAATCTAGCTCCCTGAATTGCAGAAAAAGTATGTTTTTTTAAATATGCAAAAGATGCTACTTCCTGTGCTATGACCATTGTACCAAAATAACTCCCTGTTCCTCTGTATGTGTTCCTGCAGAGGAGTATGTGGCATTTTATGACCGATTGGCATTTGTGAGGAAGTGTGCGCAGGTTGCAGGTAGTGAGCTGACTACTAGAACCAACGTCCTGCTGGTTCGTCAAAATATGCTCACTCCTGGAGGTGGAATTGTGTTCAGCTACACCTCAAAGAAAAACCTGAAGAGGAGCCACCATCAGGGTGAGACAGCGTGTTTGGTCACTGTGTGCAGAGCTGGGCTAAAGCAAGATACCTGGGATAGAATGTCAAAATACAGCATGTTTAATGAAAGAGGATGTTTCACTGGCTATTTGAATGGATGTAACTTTAAGTAAAAATGCAATCAATGTGGGAGCCTGCAACAAAAAGGTTAAAAACTGACAGTAGAGAAATATATGTAATAACAAGAACATGTGCACTCTTATGTACAGTGAAGCTGAAAATACTGAAAAGCTTACACTGTGACAAACTCCACAAACACCATAGAACTGAATCTGATGCTAATACTGTTTCTAAAAATGTTCATGTTTGGATCTTTATGTAAAATACTCATTGCACTGTTTGACTAATACAGGTGTTCATATGTATTTTGTTTACACCTTCGTATTTACCAAAGGTTAAGTACACATGGTCTTTGCCCCACAGACTGTGACATTCAGCTGTTCTCCCCCAGCGGTGACTTTGAGAACCCGACGACGTCCAGCACCAACCACACCTGTCGAGTGCTCATCAACGCCCCTCCCTCTGTGAAGATCAGAGTCCAAGCACTGCACATAGGATTAGCATTCAACACCACCAACTCGCAGTCTACATACATTATGGTGCGGGCTAGCTCTTTAAACTTGTGTTGTTCTTTCAGAGTGCTCCACAGTGCAAAGGAAAAAAGTGAGAGTGTATTAACTACAGGGATATTTTGTCTTTTGTTGTTTTTGTTCAGATCCGGGACATGGACATCTTAAAGACCAACGTGTTTAAAGGTCAACAGCTGTTTCTGTGGCATTCCTCTGGAAATATGGCAGAGATTGAGTTCCATGGAGACTACCTGCATTCTAAGGGAAGCTTTAGAGCGGAATATTCCTTTATAAGTCCCAAATATTAATTTATAATAAATACCTGGAGGAACATTTGATTTGTATGTTTCAAATATCTTTGGCTTAAAATAGGTATTCAAATTTATATGTTTAGAGAACAAGATCCTTTCACTTGATTTTCATATTTCTGTGCTAATTATTTTTACATGAATAAATGAAAACAAAATTGTCATTCTGGAAACTGGTTAACTATAAACAAAGGAGGACAAAAAAAGAATACAATTACAATAAGCAAATTGTGTCCATTTAAATTTTAAATGTATATAACACAATATATTAAAATATAGAATTCCCATCATAGAGATTTAATTCTCCTTTCAAAAGCAGTGTATAACAGTCACACATTCCCACTGTCTTCCCACAATCCTTCGTTAACAGGTTTCCCCCTCAGCTCCAACACACTCAGTACATTGTGAGTTGATGCCAGTGCGGCGCTCTGCCAGCGACTCAGTTCGAGCTCCTCTATGCCGCAGTGAGACACAAACACCACGGCAGGCTCCCGTGCGGGATCACTGCTCGGTTTTCGCCGTGTCTTCCAGCAGTGCCCTCATGTCCAAAAGAGCCTCCTCTACAGCCTGGGCAAACTTGGCAGCGTTTGTCTCCTCACAGCTGTTGAAGGCTGTGATGGCGATGTTGATGTGCTCATCCATGGGATTGTAACACACTCCATAGCCATCTGGCACCACTGGACCAAAGCACATCACGCAATCTGTCTTGGAGCCAACCTGGACACGCAGGAGAGAGATGAGGGCAAATTCTTCGATAAACAAATATGACGGCAGATAATCATTTGCTCAGTAATAATAAACTGTTGGTTTTCTTTGATGCAAATTTACCTGGCTGGTGGAGAGATTATAATGCTGAGCCACAGCAAAAGATGTGTCCATGAATATCTCAGGCATGGAGGTCAGGTCTTCGATACCCTGGATCTTCAGCCCAAGGAGGTGTCTGTCTGTGGCTTGTCCATGAATCGCCTAAAAAAAATTTGAATTTGTGGAACTGAAATTAATCCGATGATTTCAGGAAAAAACAAACATAATATGGATGAAGTCCAACTCTCACTTTGTACGTGTTGTCCTTGTGTGTCTGAACAGCCTTCCGCAGCAGCTCCAGCGTCTCTGTGTTCTGTTGACATGGTATTTACTGTTCAGTCAGAGAGCGTGCATCGTTTTAACTGGACAGTTATTGAGAAAAGTCTTGTGGTTCAACAGCACCTGTTTAGCTGGTTCTTGCATTGCCTGGACAAATTTAAACGACTCAACAGTGGTTGAACGGATGGCATCCGTTCGGCCATATTTAAACATTCGTAGCGATGCACTCTCATATGTGGAGCAGCAGGTATTATACATCCTGGAATTCAAAAATAACAGGATATAGAATGCAGTGTATCTCATGCCTGGATTATCTTCAACTGTGAAAATGTCTTACCTGAAGTAGGCAAGCTGAAGAGCCATTTGCACAAAAGCATCTGGACTCAGCTTATGTTGCTTTGGCACATTTTTTCCAAAATGAGAAAACATAAGCACCTTCACATCTAAGTCGTGCACCATTCTAGTAAAACAAAGAAATATAGGTAAGTTGCACAAAATCCTTAAAGCTGAGATGCTAATTATTATCATGCCGGCACTTTACATACATGTTCATATTTTGTTTGGCTTTCTCAATGTCTCTCTTGACTTCAGGTGTTATGTTAAAACGCAGCTTCTGAGGCATCTGCAGGGGAACCATGGGGGAGCGGACAATTTCAGTCTTCTGCCTGTTGGGAAAACGTCAAACTGTGAGTTAATTTGTAAAGGAACAAAACGTTTATCTAAAAACTGAATGAAACTCACATGTATTTAACAACGTAGTCCACGAGGAACACGATGGGTGGACCCTCAGCGGGTGCATGTTCGTACACCAGTCCACACGTACCGTCTTCACCAACTATGAACTGTGGATTATACAAGTGCCTTTAAATTCTCAACCACCATCATACTCATATATATTTTATATTTGAAGTCTCTATCTGACCTGCAATGTTTTATCAAACCAGCGGTTGCCGCTGTTCCATCGAGCTCCTCCTCCATGTAGCATCTGCGCCGCCACACGGCTCTGATACAGCTCATCTGATACGCGCGGCATTGGGGCGTCCAAGCAAACGGTGAAGATACTTTTCTGGATGGCACGCACTGACTCCTTATTCGTCTTATCTGAGGGTGAATAAAATGGCTTTAAAGATCTAAATAATATCTTCTCTGACATGTGCTTTCAAATTAGAAAAATTAGAAAAGCAGCTCTAGTATCAGCTCGATACTAGAGCTGCGAACGCAAATGTTGCTCTGCACATTTTTCAGATATTTTTATGTTCGTCCCCAAGTAAAATGTCTGGAAAATGTGAGCCCATTAGAGGCTAATTTAAAAATATACAAGAATACAAATATCTCAGGATGGAAAAGAGGAGCTATACACAAAGTAGACAAATATGTTGACTTGGAAAGACAAGATTCGAGAGCTCCTTGTGATAAGGGCCAACGTGGGTGTTGATGTGCTGTAAACAAAAACATTTCCACAGCAGAATTTAAACATAATGTCCCGCCTCCTGCAGGTTCTACTCAGATGCCACACCTCGCCAGAATGTTCCAGACATTTTCCTGTTGTTGTGTACGTGTCTGACCGGGACAATCTTCTGCTGACATTTTCCAGAGTTCATGTCTGAAAAAGCTTAAGATGTATCCCTCCTCTGCTCACCCTTGATCAGGTTGTTGTAGGCTTTTCCCCAGGTGTTGCGGTGCTGTGATGTAAGGATGCCAATCGGCTCTTTGTTTGTTTGCAAAGACGAGTTCCAGATCTTCTCCAGCTGCATGTAGATCTGGTCTACTGTCAGTGTCGTGCCATCGCTGTTGTAAACGTCCAAGACAAAGAACTAAAGGAGACGAGAGCAATGTCAGGGTCATGCAGCCACAGAGCCAGTGTTTCTTTAACCACTGCACCAATGATAATGACAATCAAATTAGCTTATGATGAAATGCTTATATAAAAGAAGAAGCAGACCATCTGCCAGCTAGAGTACCTGGAAGTTGTGGACCACAGTGATGTGAGTGGGAGGTGTTTTCCCGATGGTGTGGTTTACAACAGTGTCTCTCTTTGGGCCGGGGACACGACAGGAGGACAATATCTGGTAGTACTGATCCATGCACAGCGGCTTGCCACTCAGGTACTCCACAGGCAGGGTGTCACTGTGACACAGCACCTCAAATCATCCATTTGTAGTTTTTAATACATCAATGAAAAACAGTTTATTTTAGTTTCAGACAAACTCACGTGTCAATCATTTTTTTAAAGTCCAGAACTCCTGTGATCAGTCTGGCAGCAAATCTGCAGGAGAGATATTTGTCACTGTCAGCCACCTTCTCTTGTTTGTTTGTACATTCAAAACTGTGTCACTAGCTGAGAATGATGAGGCTATTGCACCCTGCATACTTCAAATTCAATCCTTGGCTTCACCGCAGTATTTTTCTATGGGGCCGACGTATTCACCATATGCAACAGGTCACAGAAGTCAAAAACAGCTGAGCCATGGTGTGAGCAGCCAGAGCACTTTAAATAGCCAGCGTGTGGAGGGAAGCCTGTGCAAAGGTCAGCTTGAACATCCAGCCTCATATGAGCTTGTTTATACTGTGCTTCAGTGTGAAGTAAATCACTTTTGGAAACAACTTAATGACTGGTGCTTATTATTAGATTTCACTGTAATAACCGACATTCAGGGATCACCACAAATTGATGGCATGCCTTAAAAGTACTGGCTATTTTTTGGTGTGTTTTGTTTGGTAAGAGCTTAGCAACTGTGGTGGCTGGTCCTCAATATGGATGCTGCTTTCTCACCTCATCTGTCCTTGGCGATCGTGGAAGCGCATTCGTGGCAGGACAACCCCGGGGCTGGTGTAGACCGCCACCGGCATACGGCAGTCCAGATAGGCCGACTGCATCCACCATTCTGAGAGCTACATAAACACAGCAGTGGTAAGAAAGCTGAATATATGATGTCTGATACAATGACTACTTCCTTAAGAAGAGTTTACATAAACTCATCATTAACAAAACTGTAACAGAAGCATGATCAAAGCTTAATAACTCCAGATATCTACCCAGTTTTCTGTCTTGCGTGCCCGTCGCTCCAGGCCTTTCTGCAGCCTTTCTCCCACACCACCCTTTAGGAACTCCGCCACCAGCTCCTGGGTGTGTTCCAGCTCCTCCTGGCTGACAATGGGCTCCAGAGAGGCCAGGTAGTGCTCGCATGTCTGCTTCAAGGGCGGCACGGGCAGTTTGGGCAAATTCTCCTGGTGCACCAGGGACCTTTCTGGGACCTGTGTCACCGATCTGAGCAGGCGACACGGCTTCACCACACCTGACCGGAACTGGCACACAAAAACTGGATGAGCACAAACTAAACTAAAACCTATGCAGATGGTCAAAACCTATAAACTGAATGTAGAGTGGTAGTACAGTAAGACAGGAACATGGATGCATAAAGGCTTTGTCTGCTTTAATTTTGATTATCTGCTCTCGCTGAGTATTGAATGTTTATGTTTGCTGATTGTGATTGAGCTGTTTTTAATGCAAGATGGAATATTGCAGCATTTCACGAAATGTAATTTGAAAAAAAAAGGATAGGACTCAATAAGTATTCACTTCTTTCTGCTCCTTTTCAGACATGTTTTATTCATTTTGAACATTTGTTCTTGAAGTTCACTTGTTTGCTGCACCTTTTTCTTACCTACTTATATAGATATTTCCATCTTTATTTCAAACATGTTTGAAATAAAACATAACGTAACCTCATCTGCCCTTACAGATTACATAAAAAAATATTACACAAATAAAATACTATCACTACTCTTTGGCAAAACCTGGCTCACTGCATTGATATAAAAGAGTAATAACTGACATTTAATCTGAGTGATGACTGCTCTAGTTGAGCCAGAAGATTAATGGGACTGTTGCCTCACAAATCCAGGTGTCAACATGTCGTTAAATGTTGCGTGTACACGATTGAAGCGTCAAATAGCAAATGGCTTCAAGTGAGGACTGGACTCAGTTATTTACTTTAATATTAAGCAGTAAGATGAGTCGATCAAGTGAAATGTGACACAGTCACAGTCGAACACACTGCTGTGGACTGGGCCTTCTTAAAAATAGCAGGTTGACACAGCTGAACCTTTGGAATGAAAACAACAACAAACACATGAAACCAGAAATATATCTGTGCTGTCATGATCACTGCTGCTCACCAACACTAACTAGATAGATGTGTAAGATTAGGATTTATATAAAGGAGCAGGAGGGATTTCACACTTATAAACTGATTAACAGTGGGAGTTCAAATTCATTTCCAAATGGTTCACATGAGTGGGCATATTTTTTTGTCAAGTTTCCAGGTATTAAAAAACTTCCTGTGCACGTTTTCAAAATAAAACTTATTTAAACCTTAGGCTGTGTAAATGCCACAATCACTACTATAAAAACAAAAGCAGCTCTGAGTGGAGCTGTGGAGCCGACCATGCTAACACTGTAGCACTGTTTCCCATGTCCTCTGTGCAGCATGCGCATTAAGCTAGCGTTAAGCTAACGGCTAGGCTAACATTAGGTCAAATATCACACAGAGATGCAGAGAAAACAATCGAAAAATAAAACTCTGCCTTTGCAAACATGGCACCAGATATAAAACCAGGCTGCAGCTGTGGAAACATTCATTTACGTGAACCTGGACATCGGCACATTGTTGTTGTCCTGTTGGTGCGCCCCACCCCCTTCAGTCGGCCTGGTGCCACCATGAAGCTAAACACAAGCTCTCAACGATTCAGTCACTACCATCACACTCACCCCGGCTCGGACTAGCACGGCCCACATGCTGGCGGACAGACGGGCTAAGGTCTCGGACTGTCCCGGGCTGTGTGGACGCTGAAGCCTCGGGCTGACATGTCTCAAGGACAAACTCAGTCACCGTCTATTCTCAGCTGAGAGGGACTGCACCCCCCCCCCCCCAGACCCACCGACAGCTCCTCTTAAACTCACGCTTTTATCTGTGGAGTCTGGTCCATGTGCGACTGCTGCTTTAAACTGGTGATCACAACATGTCCCTGCTCTGTGAAAGCCTCGATTCATTTCCCTAAAGGAATAATACATCTCGTTGATAAAGATTAATGAACTTAAACTATATTTAAATATTTATTAGTCTTGATTGTGTCCTAGATTGTGTCGCAGAGTTTATATTATATTATTATAAGTATGATCCATTTCAAAATAAAGTGCAAGGTCACTATATACCCCATTCATGTGGCCTATCTATTATAAAGCTAATCTAAATAATATTAGAGGTTTGCAATAATTCATCACATTAATTTAAAGCCAACACATCAGCAGTGTTTTTAAATGATGTTCATTTTTATTGAAAGATAAAATAATACATTTACAGACTGGTGATAATCTGTGTTGGTTGGTTTGGTGCATGAGCCTGCACAGCTCACTGTCGGCCACATGGTGGCGCTCGTCAAACATCTTTCCACAGAAACAGCGGCAAACTCATTCCTTCAGGAAATGTACAAACCAAAGACAGACTCCTCCAGCCCCTGCAACTACCCACCACACACATCAGTTTAAATGAAAGGTGCATTTAATCTGAAATCATATGAATGGACACCTGGAGCGTTAATGCGTAAAAGTAATTCACAATGATTGTGATTGCTCTGTACATCAACATTTTGTCCACAATAACAGAAGACAGAGAGAGAGAGGATTGCAGTCGTGTCATGGTTTATTTGAAAGCAATAAAATAAAGCGATACAAAGAAAAATCAGTCATACAAATCAAAACGCCTCGATTGCTCTGGTCCAGCCGCTGCCTGTCAACAGTGTGTGTTTTATACAGATTGTTTGCGCGGCGAATATTTGCTCAAGGTCCGTCTGCTGCCAACTCACAAAGTCAGAGAGTCCACCTGAGCCCAGCACTGAGATCAGGTTGGAGATGTTCGTGCTGTCCGAGTCTGAATAAGAGTCATCGTCAGTCCTCATCCTCTTACATGGCACCGGCCCAAAGTCGGGTAAATAAAACTCTGGATCAACAATATGATAACTTGTGTCCATCTTTCGCTTCTTGGTGTAGCAGTGCGCGCCCTGCGGCTGTTTTGGCTGCGCGCAACAGTCTGAGTGGAAGTATCCATTCGTGACAGTAGTCACCACATGCGTGTCCAGGTCCAGCACAGTCTTCTGGTTGGCCTGTGTGTTGGGGACAGGTAAGTCCCAGGATGATTTGTCCGCGCAACTCCAACAGGCTTCAGAAACCATGAGCTCAGAGTCATTCGGTGGAACCATTGCGCACGCTGATGCGTCTTGGTGCGCCACCTCTGCAGGCTGGCCGCCGGGCTGGTGCGCTCCGCAGTGCCAAGTGTCCGACTCAACCCCAGTAAAGTTGCAGTAGAAGTCATCGGCCAACTCCGTAAAGCTCCCGGTCAATTCGAGGTATTCTTGCCTGTCACGGACTGCGGCCACGTCCTCATAGTGATGCGTCCTCTGCGTCTGCGACAAGTTTTTGCTCATGTAAAACTGCCTGGCGTTTCTCAGAACGTAGGTTACCAGCAAGTTCTTGTGGAGCTTGATGCCTCCTCTCTGCGTCCTGGAGCTTTGGATTTTCCTCAGTGAAATGGAGATCAGATTCTGTGCGTCAAATGCACACTCCATCCTCAACCGGGCCGCCCGATCTCTCCTCGAACTCTCTCAAATCGTGGGTTCCCTCGCTGGAGAAATATTCATGTGTTTAGTGGAGATTCCTACTGGATTCGTGTAGACTGTGTCCATAGCGCTCCATGTCTTCCCAGTAAGGGCATGGACTTGCAACTCTCATCTTTCCTTGCCACGCCCTCACGCAGACATTGTCCAATGGGAGGGAGGCGGTGCTTCTGTTATACGCAAATATCACTACGAGCCTCATTCAGGATGCACGCAGGAGCGGGCATGCTGCATTTCACTAAATATGTCCTGGGCTTTTAAAATCTCAGTGCGGACAAAAATCATTAGACTTCACTGTCCGTGCACAAGTAGAATAGAATGGAATAAAGTGAAGGGTACAAGACAAACTGAGAATAGAATAGAATAGGCAGTAATAACACAGACCAGTATAGACTGAGCCACAGTAATACAGTAAAATAGAGAGTCACAGAGTAGACTAGGACAGACTAACATAATATAACTGAACAGAAAGTAAAATAACAGAAGAGAAAAGAGAGTAATAGATGGAGGTAAAACAGGAAAGAAAAAAGGAAAAGAAAAATAGGAGTTGAAAAGAACAGAATTGATTTGAATAGCCAGTAGTACCAATAGAAGAAAAATAGTAGTGTGAACAGTTCAGTATAGTAATAGAATAAACAATAGAATAGAACAGATTAACAGAATAGAACCAAACAGAACAAAGTAATAGAATAGAATAGAACAGAGAGTAATAGAGTAGAATAGAACAGAGAGTATAGAATAAACAGAAAGTAATAGAATAGAATAGAATAGAGAGTAATAGAGTAGAATAGAACAGAAAGTAATGGAATAGATGTAACACAGAGTAATAGTATGGAGAGTAATTGAACAGGATAGAAAAATAATAGAATAGAATAAAGCAGAACAGAGAGTAATAAAATTGAATAAAACTGAGTAGTCGAATAGAATAGAAAATAGTAATACAACACAGAGTAACTTAGTAAAACAGAACAGAGAGTAATAGAGTATAATAGAACAGAGAGTGATAGAATAGAATAGAACAGAGAGTAATAGAATGGAATAGAACAGAGAGTTATGGAATGGAATAGAACAGAGAGTAATAGAATGGAATAGAAGAGAGAGTAATATAATGGAATAGAACAGAGAGTAATAGAATGGAATAGAACAGAGAGTAATA